AAAAGACCTTAAAACATCTGTAATCGCCTCAGATTGGTATCCAAAAGAAGGCCATGCAATCGGCCTTGTTGTTGCTCCCACCAAAGTTGCATCTTCAAGTTCAAAAATCACTTTGTTATACCTATGAGATTTGATACTTCCCAAAGCCCACATCAGGCATATCATCTTTGCATCCTCAATACTGAAATCCCTTAACACCCAAGCACCACCAGTTTCTTTAAATGTTTTATCTCACGATACACCGATGTTGCATTTGATCCATGAATGAGGAGGAGCTTTCCAGTTGTGATTCGGGTTAACCACTGAACCTTCAGGGTTTGAATCATTCTGTCTCTCCACATTTCTTGCTAAAAATCACTGCCTCACCTCCTCCTGAATCTTCCTAACCGTATCATTGGCCAAGAACAAAATCCCTTCAAAAAGAAACTTATGTCAAATATATTATCAACTGAAATTTGTATACGGAACAAACATAACTTAATTGTCTTTTAGAAGATAAACGTAAATCTAACTTGTCATGTTCTTTTGGTACGTACGCCGTAATGTTGAAATAAATAAATGAATACATTGTTAAGATGAAACCGCATAACTAAATGCCTGCGATTATGAAAAGAGAAGCATAAATCCATAATATAACCTGACTGAACCATCAAAGTCTTAGTATTCAGTATTTTTGTAAGTCAATCATCTGAATAGTCTGTCTATATATCTAAAATACACTGACTCAAGAAAAGTTTAAATCATAAGAGTCCAACAATCTACGCGAGGCTATGTTTGTGAACCATAGTCGTAACAATGCTTCACACTACAAATTAAAAATGTTCTACTTTTGTTGGGTTTCATAATGAATCACACTTTTGAAAAGGAAAAAAAAATCCAATAGTGTTTCATTATACTGTATGCACGTACTATTTTCGTTATTATATTAATAACCTTTTGTTTTTTAAGGCACAAACGAAGTTTGCTTAAATTTTATGAAAAATTTGTAGTTACAAAGAGATTTGTTTCGTAGTTACAAAGAGATCTGTTTTATTTTTGGTTCACTCATTTTATTACTTTCATCAGGGTAATTTAATAACATTTGCATTTCAAAAAAGTTAGTTTAGAAAAGTTTTGAAATTTCAAATATGATATATTATTGATTTCCTCATTATGAATAATTTTCCAGTTCATGGTTAATTTGTTTATATGTGATAGTAATTTTAAAAAGAAATTTGGTTTAATGTTTTAGTCAAACTTTACCTTTGTCACATATTAACAGTATAAATTTGTCTATATACGATAGTAAAAGCTTGACTATAAAGTTTTGACTTAAAGATTGAAGGATAAAATACGACCGATTGAAGTTGTTTTGATTTGGTCTCATGACCAAGTCTTAAGGGATAAGTTGTCCGATTACATAGGAGTCAAAAGCGTGGTTGTTAAGAGTTTATTTTGTTAAGTTAGTTCTAGTTGTTGCAGTGTCTAAAGCCTTTAAAAGGCTCTGTATATTCATTATGTAAAAACATGTAATTAGAGATGTAAAAGGCTTTTGTCATAACGTTTCTCTTCCTCTTCAATTCTCTGTTCCAACAGGTAGTCCTCTGTTCCAGACACAACAAAGATTAAACCAAATTAAAAGAAAAGTTTGACTACCACTAAAGAAATTTTTATAGCCCGATATATTTTAGAAAAAAAATACACAACATTCCCGACTATGTGTATAAATCTGATAATTGATATATACTTAAAACCCATATCAAACCTAAAAATTTTAAACAAGAAGACTCTTTCCAAAAAAAACAAAAACACAAAATGGATACTTTCAAACAAGAGTCTCAAGAGATCATGATATCAAACACATCAAATG